TTGGACTAATTAAGGAATCCAAGTAAATATGGGTGTTGTACTACCCTTAAAAGTTATGGAATAACTTAAGTGAGCTGATCAACCGTAATGATATGTCAGTACCTGAACGACATAGGTATCATTTGAATGTGTATTCGTCTTCTCAAGTTTGGCTTGATGATTTTGGAAGTATTTAGCTTAGCTCAACTCTAGATCGTATTCAGTACTAAGAATTGGATATTTGTTCAACAACTCAACCACAAAGACCAAATTGAATTAAACGGAAGTACAATACGTATCTAAAATTTTGAAATGTTTGAATTACTCTGGAAAATTTTGAAGTAACTGAAATAGACTTGACTGCTAAATGAACTAGGTAACTTTAAGGGCTGAGGATTAAGTAAGAGATTGTAATAAGCCTGAAAACTCGGATGAACTTACGTGATGTATCATCCCTATGAATTATGAACCACAAATCAAGTACGTCGGTATTTTTTAGTATAGTTGAAACGTGGAAATGAAACAAATACCATTAGAATATATGTTCGTCTCCTTAAGTTCTGTTCAGTGTGAGACAGAAGATAATCTATGGATAAAAATATTTGGTATTAAAGAGTAAATACCCCGGAAGATTAATGAATTGACAAGTTGGAAAATATTAGTTCTGGGGGCTATTCATCTGGAGTTGTTAGATAATTCGATTAATCGCCATAGACTGTAAATGTCCTGAATCTTCATTTCTTCCTTACCAGCTCAAGTCATATTCTGAATAACTGATGATTCCGTCAGTTATTGAACTCTTCCAATAGTGATTCTGAATTCTGATATTCTATCGGTATACTGAAGGTTCGTTTTCCTCTACCTGTTAAGATTATCCAATATCTTTGAATAATATCTGTAAATTTTGGTGTGTTTACTACTCACATGAATATTTTATCTGATTTTCAATTTAAATTCTGATATGATACTTGACATGGATTCTGATCTGATATCTGACAGGGATTTTGATCTGATACTTGACTTGGATTCTGATATGATACTTGACCTGGATTTTGATCTCATACTTGACCTGGATTATGTTTTGATTTTTGATTTATCTGTTTACGGACGGACATGTTTTACTTGGGGATAATGTTGGAGGAAGATTACTTGGAGGCTCATCGGCTGTGTGCTCAGGGCCTTACTTACCGGTTCCTCGGCTTTGTGCTCAGGGCCTTACTGGACGTGACGGGGTTGTATGGTTCTAGGGAACCTACACATTTTGTACGTGACAGATGGGGGTATATATATATATGTTTTAAAAGATCTGTATCTTTTTACTGGTTTTACAGGAACACACTAGATAACCTATTCTAATCTCCTGAACTCAATCATTCGAATTATTTCTCTGAACTGAAAGCTCACTGTTTGTTACTACCTGAAATACCAGTATGATATCTGCTCAACATAAAAATCTATGGATGTTCGGAACCAATAAGGAAACATTTGTTTATTTGTATCTGCACGTTCTTTAACATCATCTGGTAGTTCTGTATTACCGAGCTTTTCAAAACTCACTCTGTTACTCACCTTTTCAGGTTAAAAGAATCGTACCAGTTCATCTATCAACATCAGTAAAAAAGTTCTTTCGAGGTTGCTTGCAGAGTATGGTACATGCGATTAGGGGGCATGTAATTGTATTTTGTTTTATATACGAGTCTGAAAATATATTCTATTTCTGCATATTGATAAATGATTTTATGAGTTTACATGTTTTAATAAAAGTTTTAAATTTTTTGCTATTTTTACAATGGGTCGCTCCGATGGCCCTAATGTAACACTCCAGATCGGATCGGGTTATCCGCATTGGTCTGAGGGGGTTACAATGAGAGCATGTGGTTCAAATTTGATAAAAACGAGCTTGAAATGAAGGGTGAATTGAAGAAATAAATAAATCATGAAAAGTTGAAGGATTAAATTGAAAAATAGAAAAACTTGTTGTCAAAAAGAAGAATTGAAAGTACATATGTATTTTAACTTTTAAGATTGTTTAGGAACATATAGTTCAAATTTGGTAAAAAATGATTTAGAATTAACGAGGAATTAATGAAATAAATAAACCAGAGATTAAATTATAAAATTATCAAAATACTTAGTTATTTTTTCAATTTTTGGAGTTACTCAAAATTTTTAAATTTTAACTCGACTCGAACTCGAAAACTGTCTCAATAATTCAAATTGATTTGACTAACTTGAAATTAAAAAAAATAGTTTTTAATTCGAGTCGAATTCCACTCATCCCAATGGCTTAAATTACAATTGTTATCGCATTTTCAATCGTGTTACGTTTATCACAGTTGCAGACATAATAAATATTATTGCTACCATTATGAGTATTACGATCGTGAATTTTTTTTTATAATAAAGTTGATTTTAGAAAAAAGGAACTGTTTTTTTAAATAAAATAACGAAACAATAATGAAAATAATAATTCGCTGTAACTGGTCGCTATTTGTTAAGTTGTGATTATAATCCATTACTATTGATGTGATTATACTTTATACTATTATTTTCTGTCATAATAATTTCAACTGCCACCACCATTACCGTAATATAATAACTATTATTTTACTATCATACCGCTATTTGACTCACCCGCTTCCTCAATGCACACTCGGCTATGGAGCTACGCCACACTCACCAACACTAATCGCAATGGTTTCAGACGCCCATAGGTTCACCATAGTCTCATCTAACCCTCAACATCCCAACTTCTTTTCACCCAAATCATAAGTCCCCGTCACTCCACTAGACCATATTAACATCACTCGTTTCGTTTACTTCCTTCACCATCCTCACCAAATCTATCCCTTACCTCTTTCGGCTAACCCTAGCCCAACCACCAAACCAAACCTCAATGAAAATCAACTATAGCCAATATCAACCAGAAAAAAGAAGAAATCAAGCAAGGGTAAGAACTAAACCACCCTTTTATTCTCGGCCAAGTAGAGTCGGCAGCGGCTCAGGCTCTAGTGGTCGAACAACCCATCCCAACGATGCAAAGATAGCAGCCAACGAAGAAACACATATCTCGATACAAATTTTGTTATAAGAGTCCGATATATATATATATATATATAACTCGAATTCATATATATATATATATATATATATATATATATGTGTGTGTGTGTGTGTGTGAGAGTTTTATATTTAATCAATAGATAAATATATATTAAAAGGCATTTAAAGTTTATATTTTAACCTTAAAAATTTGTAATTTCTTACAATTTAATGAATGCAGTCATCATATATTTTACGCTTGTTCATTTTTTTAATGATTTGTTATTATTACTATTTAATTATTAGTTTTGTTATCATTTATTATTATTATTATTAACATTGGTTCATTTATTTAAAAAAAATGAGATAATAAGTTGTTTTTAACATGGTAACAATTTTTTGAAGCTTTAATCTTCTATAAACGTAATTGATTTTTAAATTTAACTTAATCTTGATGTTGAACACAAATCAAATTATAGATATTGAATTATATTTATCCTAAATCAACCGATAACAATTTCATCTATTGACGAACATTTTAAAATAAAATTATTTTTAAAATCACCTAAATACAATTTTGAAATTATAATTATTTTAAAACCTCAGCTTGTGACGGGATAGTTCTATTCTGTATTTTAAATTAAACCTGGGAATTATTGAGACCGTGACGGAATAAAGTTGCAGAAATTAGTAAAAGAGACGATAGTTTTGGTAGATACGGGCGCGTGACGCCACTCCTAAAGTTGGCAAGTGGATGCTTAAGTTTAGGATATTAACCATACTTAGTATAAAAATTAAGGGATGTTTGATAAAATAAAATGATTAAGCGCTGAATGATTTAATGGTTCTATATGAATTAATGTGACATATTGTTTGATAATGATTATGAATGTACAATCTGAATTGTGAATATTTTTATTTTTACCTTCATATTGATTTATTATATTATAAGATATGATTGTTTAATAAGACAACATGTGAAAAAATAGGTATTATGATAAAATACTAGGTGCTTAATGATTCAGAATGTACTTTAATGCTGAATCATTCAGCAGTGTTTTGTTGTTTCATTCAACATAATCTTCATTCAGAGATGAAAATCAAACACGCTGAATGGTTCTATTCAACAGTAAACAAACGACCTCTAAGTGGAGAAATTTTATTTTGAAAAATGTTTGTGTCTAAAAATATTTTTACTAAAATAAGAGTCTAAAGTTTTCTTAGTTATATTGTTAGGTGTCTAACGTTATATTTTTTTATTTTTAAAACTTTTTAATAATAAAAATATTATTTTTAAAAAATAATAAATAAACTTAATTTATTTTAAAAAAAACTCAAAATTTTACTGAAATTATAAAAAACTCTAAAAAACTAAAATATCTCATTTTAACTCTTATTACCAATGGTCGTCGGTCATCTCTGACCACCATCGTCATCAATCATTTGGGTTTTGATCAGAATTGCACGGTGGTTCAAATAGTGTGACAGTATGACTTATTGATGTCGAGATCGGTCAAAATCGACGGAAAATAACGATGGTAGCATAAAACTCGATGGACCTTTAAACACTTCGCTATAACAAACGATGACAGTTTACGACGAAAGGTCATCGGGGGTTTGCTCAGGGTCAACGTCGGTACTGATAAAGATGACGATAACAATCACGATTGGTCGGTCGGTGACAGTGGAAAGAAGGAATGAGGAAGGGAAAAGGGGGACAAGGGGAGGATCACTAGTAGGCTGTCAAGATTTTTTTAAATAAAAAAATATTTTAAAAATATTTTTTTTAAAATTTTAAATAAACTTTTAAAATTATTAAAACATGACATATCCCTTCACAGTTAAATTTAACAATAATTACGGTTTAAATACTTAAAAATCTTCGAAGAAGAACTAAAATATTTTTTCGAGAGAGGTTACACACTTATTTTTTATTGAGTCAAATATAAATGCATTACACGTGATTGTAATACTTAAGTCTGCAATAATTCCTTTTTTCCGATCTCAATTCCCAATTCTTTCGAAGCTGGTGGAGATGTACAATTCCAATCTGGCCGCGGCTGAAACTCCTCTTTTAGATGACACAGTTCATGCCTGCCTTGATTTCAAAGGCCGCCCTGTCCGCCGCTCAAACTCCGGTGGTTGGAGATCGGCTTCTTTCATCATTCTTGTCGAAGTTGCAGAGAGGTTTGCTTATTTTGGGATCTCTACAAACTTAATTTCTTACTTAACGGGGCCTCTGTCTCAGTCCACTGCCACCGCCGCTGCTCAAGTTAATGCCTGGTCGGGAGCAGCGGCGCTTCTCCCACTGTTGGGTGCTTTTATTGCCGATTCTTTTCTTGGCCGATACCGCACCATCATCGTTGCTTCTCTTGTTTACGTTTTGGTAAATCATTTTTCCCTTCATTCCAAATTTAGAACTTATAGAAGAAGCAATAAATGTTTTAAAATAATTACTTCCAGTGAAACAAATAGTGGAGTTTAAGCTTGGGTTTAGACTTCAGATGCCTTAGCTGAAGCTCTCTTGAACTCACTCATCATTCCCAAATCAAGAAGTTGCTTTCAATTCAAGATTGAGTACACAGCTGTAATGTAAATTTGTAATGGATCAAGCTGTTGCTTAACTGCTGTTGCTTAACTTTCTTAGAAGATTTGGGGAAAATGATGATTGATTAAAGATTAGGGTAAACTACATATTTAGTGACAACTATCATTTTTGTTCTGTTTTGATCACTCAACTATTTTTTCTTTCAAAATAATACCTAGCATTTAGTTATGTTTCATTTTAGTTACTCACGGTTAAAAAATTAATGATGATATTGACGTGTTATCATAAAGTAATACTAATATCATCATTGGAAAAAAAGTAAAATTGATCTTGACAAAAGTTCTATTAACTTTGTAACAATAAATTACTAAAATGAAACCAAAACGTAAAGTTTGATATGATTTAAAAAAATAGTTAAGTGATCAAAACAGAACAAAAATAATAGTTGGAGTACTAAACATGTAGTTTAATGATTTGTACTAATTGATTTTATTTACATATAGGGCCTAGGCTTGTTGACTCTGTCTGCTACTCTTCCATCTGTCACCACTTCTGGTGCCCATAATGCAGATAATGTCACATTAAACACTTCATCAGAGCTTCAGTTTCAAGTGATACTATTCTTCTTCTCACTATATCTGGTAGCATTTGCACAAGGCGGGCACAAACCCTGCGTTCTAGCTTTTGGCGCCGATCAATTTGATGCACAAGACCCTGAGGAGTGCCAAGCCAAGGGTTCTTTCTTTAATTGGTTGTACTTTGGAACTGCTGCTGGTATCTTAGTGACCCTTTTGGTTTTAAATTACATACAAGACAATCTAAGTTGGGTTCTTGGATTTGCAATACCTGGTATTGTGATGGCTTTTTCACTGCTTGCTTTTCTGCTCGGAACGACAACTTACAGATTTAGTGTCAAAGGGGACGAAGTAAGCCCATTTGCGAGGATTGGTCGAGTTTTTGTTTTGGCTGTTAGTAACCGAAAAACAGCTTCTTCAGCAATTGCTAAAGAGGAAGCTCTTCCAACTGAAAGTTCCAAGCAATTCGGGTATGCCGCATATATTTGTATAAAGGAAATTAGGACCATCAATAACTGAAGTCTTAATGCATGGTTTCCTTAAAGGAAATAAACTAAAAATTCTGGAAAATGTTCCTATTTTGCATAATCTATAACGAACCTCTCTAACATGGCAATATGGATTTTGACTGTGGTGGTAGATTTCTCGAGAATGCCTTGCTTGATCCAGATGATACAATGGAGCAGGGAAAGTGTGTAGCATCAGAGGTCGAAGAAGCAAAGGCTGTTTTAAGGCTTGCACCTATATGGGCTGCAAGCTTGATTTATGCAGTTGTTTTTGCACAGTCATCAACATTGTTTACTAAGCAAGGTGCTACAATGGACAGAACAATTACAGCAGGGTTGAAAATACCAGCTGCTTCACTCCAGTGTTTCATAAGCTTTGCAATTATGCTCTTCATTCCTATATATGATCGAATATTTGTTCCTTTTACAAGAGCTGTCACCGGAAAACCAGGTGGAATTACAATGCTGCAAAGAATTGGAACTGGAATTGCTCTATCAGTTATAGCAATGGTGATTGCTGCTTTAGTAGAGATGAAGAGGCTTAGAACTGCTCGAGAACATGGGTTGATAGACCAGCCAAACGTGACAGTTCCAATGCGTGTGTGGTGGTTGATCCCTCAATACTCGTTGTATGGATTATCTGATGTATTTGCCATTGTTGGTCTTCAAGAATTTTTTTATGATCAGATGCCTGATGAATTAAGAAGCATCGGTGTTGCAGTCTACCTTAGCATCATCGGTGTTGGAAGTTTCTTAAGTTGCTTTCTCATCTCTGTTATTGAGAAAGCAACTGGTGGGGATGGCGGAGATAGCTGGTTTGCAGATAATCTAAACAAGGCACATCTTGATTACTTTTATTGGCTGCTTGCCGCGCTTAGTGCTGTGGGATGGGTACTCTATATATTTTCCACAAAATCTTATATTTATGCCAGGGGAGCTACCTTATAAAATTCTTCTAAGCCCTGAATTCGAGTGTTACCGAGTAATTGTAACCGTATTATGTTCTTTTCTAGAGCTTTTCGGAGTAAGATTTGTAATGCAATCAAGGAATACATGTATACATGCTATATGTAGAAGCTATGTCATTTTGAACTTTTCGTTGTTCGTAGACGTATATGTGATTAACACCATATTCATCACATACCTATATCGAACTGACACCCGAACCCAAATAACACAGTTTACAAGATATATATGATTTACTTACCTAGCATAAATATAAGACTTAGTAGAATATACATAGAGAGCTAATCCTATGGCAGTAAGAGCGGCAAGCAGCCAATAAAAGTAATCGATATAAGCTCTGTTCAGATTATCCGCAAACCAACTATCTCGACCATCTTCGCTAGTCACTTTCTCAATAGTAGAGATGAGAAAACTACTTAAAGAAATTTCCAACACCAAAGATGCTAAGGTAGACTGCAAGACCAAAGCTCTTAAATTCACTTGGCACCTAATCATAAAAGAATTCTTGAAAACCAATAATGGTGAACACATCAGATAATCCATACATTGAATATTGAGGGACCAACCACCACACACTTATCGGAACCATCACATTTGGCTTGTCCGCCAACCTATGTTCTCGAGCGGTTTTAAGCCTCTTCATCTCTACTAAAGCAGCAATCACCTTTGCTATGGCAGTCGGTGCAATTCCAGTTCCAATTTTTTGAAGTATTGTAATTCCAGCTGGTTTCCTAGTGAAAGCTCTAGTAAAAGGAACAAACTTTCGATCATGTATAGGAATAAAGAGAAGAACCGAAAGGCTAATGAATGACGGAAGTGTAGCAGCAGGTATTTCGAACCCAGTTGTAATTGATTGGTCCATTGTAGCACCTTTCTTGGTAAACATTGTCGATGACTGTACGGAAACAACCGCATAAATCAAGCTTCGCAGCCCATTGAGGCTCAAGCCTTCAAACAGCCTTTGCTTCTTCAACTTCTCTAATGCCACACACCATTCCCTTCTCCATGGTGCCGTTTGGAGCAAGAAAAGCTTTGTTTAGGAATCTAACACCACTTTCGGAAATCCATATTGCTATGTTAGAGACTTTATTTGCAAATAACACCCTTAACACATAATTAATTGTATCACTTACCACAGATTGAAGGAAGCTGTGCATTAAGACTTTAGATATTAATCTTCACAAAAGCTTCCTTATTCAGGAAAAAAAATTCACTAACTTGAATTGCTTGGAACGTTCAGTTGAAAGAGATCCACGGGAATCTTCCTCTGTAGCAATTAGCTGAAGAAGTTTTTCTGTTCTTAAAAGCTAAAATGAAAACTCTACCAACCCTCGCAAATGGGCTTACTTCATCCCCTTCGACACTAAACCTGTAAGTTGTTGTTCCAAGCACCAAAACAAGCAGTCCAAGTGTCCAACAGCCATCACAACACCAGGTACTGCAAATCCAAGAACCCAACTTAGATTGTCTTGGATGTAGTTTAAAATCAACAAGGTCATTAAGATGCCAACATAAGTACAAAAGTACTACTGATTAAAGAAACAACTCCTGGCTTTCCTATCCTCAGGACCCAGTGCATCAAATCGATTAAAAAAAATCATCGCTATCAGAAGAAAATCAAACAAAAAAGTTTTTTTTTCATCATGATCAGAGGCGAGTTAAACATAAGTTAATATCATGTTCATGTTAATTTATTTATTTTTTAAAATATTTGTGTTAGTTCGTTTAGCATTTATGAATATGTTCGTTTAACGTTTATGAATATATTCTTTTAGTGTTCACGAACATATTGGTTATATGTTCACGAATATTTTCATTTATTATTCAGGAACATGTTAATTTATAAGTTAATAAATGTTATATTCCACTAATACTTAAAATCCTTAAGCTTTATAGTTCAAATTTCAAATTTCACTATGCAATCAATTTAACCCCTACATTCACCAGTATTTTAAAATGTACAAGAATAAAAAATAAACGAGCTTAGAAACAAGCCATTAAACGAGGTTGTTTATGAACATAAATGAACAAGTTGATAAACAAACTTGTTCGTGAATATAAATGAGTCTAATACATATCTATTCATGATCGTTTGTATATTAAATGAAATTAGAAATTTTGTCCATACTCGTTTATTTAACTTAACAAACAAACGTTATACATGATATAACGAACATATCACGAACAATTTATTAAACTCTGTGTTTATTTACACTCCTAATCCCATTAATCAAAATAATGGTCTTATGTTTTGGCACTCGCGAAAAGTCGCATCGGATAGTTTTTTTATTTACCATTACAAACTTTGAAATTAAACAGATTCTGCAAATCGAATGTTACTCCTTTGAATTTACAGTGACTTGCAGGAAAACTTTTCCTAAGGTGCGAGATTGAAAGGTAATTTTGTGTATGGATAGATGCCTCGTACGACAATTGCTAGAGATTATGAAATTTCTTCACCCGAAACATGCCATTCACAAGTCCACAACCCATATCTGAAATCTACCCATAAAACAGATTCTTAAAATGTAAATACAAATTTACATTGAATACAACTCTTCCACATATACAGTAAGAATTATGTGAAACTAATATCTTGATTAAAAATTATGATATCGTTATGTAGTTAATAAAAAATCATATTTTATAGTCTACGTTAATATTGTACAACTACAATTATACCAAGTGATCTTCAAGGTGCAGTAGTACTAGGCAAGTCCAAGCAAAGCAGAGCTCTTGACATTAACTCTATAGCCTATTGTAGCTTCAGAAGCTGCCATATCTGCGTATTGCATGCCAAAGAAGGCAAGTGGAAAATCTAGTAATTACAATGTGGCTCTTCCAGCTAACTTTATCGGAAAACAACCGTAGTGTACTTCGGCAAGACGGTTATAAATCCGATAATTACGCTAAGCTCTTTGTAGGCAATCAATCTTTCGTTTTGCATTTGCACTTCGTTTGAAGCTCGGTGAGTTCCTGCGAAGGATCCAGGTTTCTCAGTTGGCAATTTTCCCCCTTCTTTTACAGCAGCACCGGTCATATACCGGAATGTTGCCTCCTTCCTCACTTTCATACGTGCATATAACCGAGTAGCCAAGATGTGAAAATAAAAACCTTTCGAAGACTACGTACCTGAATCTGCTTTTGAAGATATTTGACGTACTCTACCGCCTCTTCCAGCATATCTGCAGTGTTGGTTTGCTGGCAGTACAAGAAAGATAATTGCCAGGTTAAACAGTGTACATTAGAAGACTTTGCATGATATCATGTACACCTGCATGCAAATTTTCACGACAACCAATACATTTTTACTCAAATTAGAATTTATAGATATACAGTTTCATTGCACAGTTCACATGGCTCATGCCGTATATGTTAAACCGGAGCAATGGTTAACGGAGGAAAACTTTTCCAGTAAAAGATACACTAGACAACAAAGATCAAACCGCAACAGAGTAATGAATGCATATACCTTGTTATTTGTTTCCACAACCCTTTAGACCCTGAAATTTTGAGATTTTCCTTCTCTTTTCTTACTGACACACTAAAATTAGATAATGGTAACCTTAACAATGAATTACTCCATCTATGAATTTATAGTAACTAATACAAATATGTACAAGCGAGTCTCACACTCTAAATCTAAGGCTGCAAATAAACATAGTTTTTTTTCTTCTGTTTTCGAGCTTGTTCCAATAAAACATCTGCCGAATTGAACTAGCTCTCTAAATGAATGCATTTGGCATCAAACTTGATTAGGATGATACACTAATATAGGTTAGAATATAGAACTTCCAATGAGTTTATTTATTTATTAAAACTGATCTCAAGAAGTAGCCTACCTTATCCATGTTGGGTACAAGCTCTTGAAGTTTTCTGATACGGTCACTAATCCTTGTTCTCCGAACCTAACAAAAAATAGAACCGAATGGTTAGAACTCAACATAAACACCATTTCGGATCCTATCAATGAAATGAATACACTTACCCTTTCTGCAATGCTTCGAGGATGAGTCGCGCAACCACGCTTGGCGCGGACCCTGCAAGGAACCGAATCCTCCAAAAGTTTCTCCATATCTATGTCTAAAAGATTTGATATCCCACCAGAAATATGATCACTTGGTTCTCCTTTCTACACAAAAACAGAAGGAAAAAAAGGTATTGTAAATGAATTTTTATATAAAAATGGAACTCAACCATATATAATTTTGCTCAAAAGTGCAAATTTATGAGTATTGCTATTAATTGGTCAGCTTTACAAACAAATATTAAAGCCTAAATCACTATAAGAAGACCAAGAATCTTTCTTTTTTACAGGCAATTCAAAGACGAAACACCATATAAACTCTTAGCCTTACCAACTGGGAATGAAACTTTGTCGGTGGGAACTGCGTATCAAGCTCACTAGCCCCCTTACTGGAGGGAGAAACATCCATAGTTGGAGATAAATAGTTATAATTTGCAGCAACTCCAAAGTTAGAGAAGTAGGCATCAGAGGCTGCAGCAGAGTTATTCCCAAGAAAACCAGCAGGAGAACTGTTTTGTCTCTGAAAGCCAGACGGTTCAAACAACCCAGCTGGATCGGGCGAGTTAGGAAAAGGCAATGGGTTTCGAATGGTGGGTATGGTCGATGAATTGCCCGTGAGTAGCTGAGTCAAGCACTGGTTAGGTTTTAAAGGGTCCTCTTCGTCTTCCTCGAGAAGAGCTTCCAACCAGGTGGCTGGCGCTGAGCGGAAGCGGGCAAGTCCAGCTCGACTCCCTTCACCACCACCACTACCGCCGCTGGAGCTGCTACTTCCGGAAGGCGTCGGTTTCATGCTTCTCTGTTCAGTTCGAGGGAGTTAGCTTCGTGAACCTACGAACAAAAACCTTTCCTCTTTGGTTTCCCTTTTCTATGTGGATACACCCTAAACATAATAAACTTTCCTTATTTTTTTATTCTTTTAAACCGTTGGATTAGCACCGAATGTTTTGAAAAAGAAAGATCCAACGGTGGCTAAGTCTGTTCTATCATAAAATGAAACATGTAAGGCCCGAAACTGCAACCTCGTCGTTTTCTTTCAGATTAGACTTCCTCTCACCGTAACCTCTGGAAAGTAAAGAGTATGTAAAGTCTGTTGCAGATGCAAATGTTTCTCGTGAAATCACGAACCAATCAGAATTCAGAATAGCAGGCACGTGGACACACCGCTTAATAATTACGTGGTAGATTGGTGTTACTCAATATATAATTTGGAAAAATGTCTCGTGGAAAGGGTTTGGTGCAGGATGGCCCGAACGGCAGTGTCGACTGTAGATTTGGTAATTATTTCTAACTATTATGTTTATATTTTAAATCTTATTATATATTATTAAAACCCATAAAATATTTAAGTGATTTAAGAGAATATTTTTAAAGGTTTTAAGTTTAATTATATATATATATATAGAATGTATACTATTAATAATTAAAAAAAAACTTTAAATAGATATAATCATCACAGTCTATTCAAAAAAAAAATTCCAAACTATGAACATTACTTTTACATCGACAATAAATTTTATAATTATTTCTATTTTTTTATTAATAAAATTCATATACCATTTCTAAAACTATAACTGCTACTTTTTATCGTAAAAAATAATTTATATTCTTTTTTTTACTATTTTATTATGTTATATTATAATTGCTTTTAACATTATTTGTATATATTAAAATTTTTATGTCAAATAAATTATTTAAAGGTAAGTTTAGTTTGCAAAAATGAAATAAAGCGAAATATATATTATATGGTGTGATTGGTTAAATAGAGTAAATTAAGAAATAATAAGTTTAGCATTATATAAAATAGTATAAATGATGTTTCGTTTATATGGTTATTAATGGAGAAATTGATTGACATATTTCTTCTTTAATTCCAAAAAAATGTGATTTCTTCTGTTTCAGTATACTTTTATGTATTTCATTTTTGAAGTTTGATCTTTGACATCTATGTCAATGTGTCGAGATTCATATAGGATAAAAAAATTAATTAAATTTTGAATTTTAAATCTTTTAAAATGGTTCAACAAAATAAGAAAAATATAACGAAATCAAAATCTATGAACGATGAGTTATAAAGCGTGATAAAATGAATCATATAATATCTTTGTATATATCAAACTCTAAAAAATTTAAAACTCGAGATTTGGAAATTTATATTAAGGGAAACTAAATACCCATAAGAGTGCGTTTGGTTCAGGAAATGTAAGATTATCAGGGAATAGGATTATTGAGAATATTGTATTTTGTGTTTGGTTGGTTTAGCAGGAATGAAAGATTATCGTGTTTGGTTAAAGGAATAAAAGATTATCGGAATGTATATTTGATCAAATTGTCCTTATTATATATTTGTTTTTTTAACAAGTTATAAAATATTTATATATTTTCTTTAAAAAATTTAAATTTATAGAATTTTTATATTTTTTTTTACAAAATTGAAAATATAAAAAGGTTTAATGAAAGGGTAAAATTTTATTTTAACCTCTGAACTTCATATAACATTTTAATTATAGATTTTTTTTGTAAATCTAAAATAGTTTAAAGATAAATTTGTAATTTAACCTTCGTAGATTTTTTATTATTCAATGACAGAAGAATGATATTTTTTGAAAAAAATTTAAGTGCATTTTAGTTCAAAACGCCGGTAATCCAATAATACTTAAAGAAATAGAGGTAATGACATTTCCGGTAATATACACACAAAAATATACTATTGGTAATAAAACATTATCGGAAATGAGATTTCCGGCCAACCAAACATGAGAATGTGGATTTCATTCCCATGAGAATCTCACATTCCTTGATCCAAGCACCCGGTCAAACTCCAAGATGGAAAAACATACAAACGAAAAATAATAATAAAGGAGCACACGTTTTTTGGAATTAAAGAAAAAAATATATATTAGTCAAATTCTCGTTATTAATGTCTTATAAAAAATAAATTAATTATCACTTATAATTGTCATAATTAGTTAATCTAATAGAACGAGACACTATATTCTTTAAATAAGATTAAATGTTTGAATGTTAGTACGGTAAAGGCTTAAATATATAAAAAGTGTTCAATCTATGCTCGTTTTTCTAGTTTACTGCCTAACACTATCCCCCGTCGTCGTCCTTTCCGACCACGACCAACGCTGCTCACGTGGCCCTTGTCATTATCCTAGTTATAAGTCACCGTAATTGTTGTCGATTGATCGTCGAAATCGTTTGGGATTATGATTTTCATCCTAGAGTTCGTGGGGTATAAAACGTCAATTCGATTTCATAGGGGTTTTGGTCGTTGGGGGAGGTGAGGTCGGGTGGAGTTTTGTCGACGGCAAAGGGCGACGGTTGGCGTGAGTTTAGGGGATGAAATGAAGGTTTTTTAAAGTTTTGGGGTTATTTCAAAAAAATGTGTGTTTTTTAAAAATATATATAATTTATTTTTTTAATTTTATATAATTTTTTTTAAATTATCAGTTTGTGACACGTGTCACTTAACAGAAAAAACTAACGGTCCGTCACGACTTGACCTTTTTTGAGTAACGGAATGAAACGTTAAAACCAAACTGAAATAAAATAAATGTTAGACACTAAACCAAAAAATGAACTTAGATTGAGCACCTTTTATATATTTAAGACTATTGTAAATGAAAAGAATAAGGTAAAAGGATCTACCCATAATAAACTTTTATAATTTATGATCAAAATTAATCCATATAATTATAACCAACAAATAAACTAATAATCATGATATTATATAATCATATAATTATAATTTTTTGGTGTTGCCTTTCCGTTTGTTACTTACCGTCTTGGCTTGGGCAACCTGAATGTCACTTGAGAAAACCAAGCCCCCTTATTTTCAACCAATTTTATCAAACACGTTACGTGCATCTATCTTTCGACTCTGTTACCTACACAAAACTCGTTCAACGCTCCACCAAATCCAGTTGTTTGCTCCACGGGAAATTTGCCAATGCCCATATATTTAAGTCTGCTTTTAAGCCATGCCCCTTTTTGCTAAACAATCTTTTAAATATGTACTCCAAAGCTGGTGAAATGGATGTTCCTCACCTCTTGTTTGACAAAATGTCCAAACCAGATCTCGTTTCATATAACTCTTTGATTTCTGGGTATTACCAGATGGGTGCTTTCGATAAAGCCATGCAGGTGCTTACTCAAGCTAGAAAAGCATGTCTAAAACTTGATAAATTCACTTATGATGGTGCTTTAAATGTTTGCGCTCAAACTGGGGATCTCAAGCAAGGGAAGTTAATTCATGGATTGATTGAAAAAGCATTTTTGACCTACTCCTTAATAGATGTGTATTGCAAATGTGAATGTGTTGATCAGGCAATGTTTCTGTTTGAGAATTCCAAGGAGATAGATGAGATTTCATGGAATACATTGATTGCTGGTTACGTTCGTATGAATAAAAATAACGAGATGTTGAAACTATTAACAAGCATGCATCGAAATGGCTTGAAATTGAATACTTATACCATGGGAACGTCCTGAAGGCTTGTTATACGAACATGGATGTAGGGATAAGGTATGGGAAAATGCTCCACGGATGTATAATGAAACTTGGGTTTGGTAATCGACATTGTTGTAGGGACAGCATCGCTTGATTTCTACGCAAAAAGGAGAGAAATACATACTGCAATCAAAATTTTTACAAGCATGCCAAACCGCAATATTATCATTTATAACGCCATGATATCCGGATTAGAAACAGAGAGCATTAGCAGGGGATGACCAAATGAAGCCTGCAGACTTTTCCTTGAAGTACAAAGACAAGGATTCAGAACGGGTAACGTTACAGCCGAGGAATCTAAAGTGGTAACGTTTCTAACGTTAATCACTTGGATTGACCAAAAAAAAAGTTGAGACACCACATTAAGAAAAAAGATATAGTTTGAACACTTATTTTTACTTTAAGTCTTAAGGGTATGAACGTTTATTATGATCAAAAAATGATTGAGAGTGTCACACCCCAATTGGTGGGGTTAGATTTCTTAAAATTAAAATATGGGAAATGAATAAACACAAGTGGAAAGAGTTGTTCAACCACATCAATTATTATTACTATTTTTATAATATGAAAAATTTAGAACCATAAGTGGCTAAGAGTTGGCACGAAAGAAAACAAAAGATTCCTAACAGGAAATCTGTAATCTGTAATCTCAAATCCCCAAATCATGGTTTCATCCCCAATTCTACCCACTTTCCTCTTTGTTTCTTCGATGTAACTGCCATAGGCGCCATTGCTACGATGACCAACCCCTTGTATATCCTCCATGAACTCTCCAAACAAGTCAAAGACTCCAATCCCAAGCTTGTTGTGACTGTCCCGGAGTTGTTGGACAAGGTTAAGGGTTTCGAGTTCCCTGTAATTTTGCTTGGTCCTGGACGAAACCAACCACCATATGAAGTAAAACAATATCCCAAAGATACTGTCTTTTCACAATCTTCTGGATTTAGCGGGGGATGTACAAGAATTTCCTGTGATTTCTATTAAGCAAACTGATACGGCAGCCCTTCTGACTCTTCAGGCACGACAGGGGTCGGTAAGGGTGTTGTTTTAACACAATGGAATTTCATTACAGCGGCTTTGCTGGTAATCATGAATCAAAAACTTGCGGGGAATATGCATCGGGTTTACTTGTGTGTATTGTCAATGTTCCATGTGTTTGGGCTGGCAGTTATAGCTTACGGGCAGCTGCAGAAGGGGAATTTGTTGGTGTCAATGTCCAGGTTTGACTTTGGGATGTATTTGAGGAATATAGAGAAGTATAGAGTAACTCATTTATGGGTTGTGCCTCCGATCATGCTTGCCATGGCTAACAGACTCTTGTTAACAAGTTTGATCTTTCTTTGGTGAGGCAAATCGGTTCTGGTACTGCTCTTATGAGGAAGGAAATGATGGAAGATGAAGATACACGATCTGTCTGGCTCGGCTGTTGCGGCGGCCTTCATAACTATGCCCTTTGTACCATCAACAGGTTGCGATAGGGTTGCCAAGTCCAACCCGGGAGCTTGGATGATTCTCGTCCCGACGCTTTAAGGCCAGAGAGCTGGTTGCTTTGGGGAAAGCTCAAGCATTAACCCTGAACCCGAGCGGCTTTGTAATGAGCTGAAGAGTCCACGGGGAAAGTGAGAGCAGCAAACCGTCGGTGCAACTGGCCATGCGACATGTAACATGCATAGAGGATGTTGTCATCTTCATGGCACTCGCGGCTGTCGTTGACCATAGCTTTGGTCTTTGGTTCATTGCCACATGATACAACTAGATTTAATAATTAAGAGTGGTGCATGCAAGGGACATTCCATGTGGGTTAAGTGACAATGCTTCACACATCAATTATTTGAAAAATGGAGTTATGATTCCCAAAAAGGAAAATCACGTGGTTGGTTATTAAAATAAGTGGAAAATCATCATGAGTCCTCAAGGCTTGGTAAGAACTTGGTCTTGTCTCATAGTTTCCTTTAGTTTTATTTTATAGCTCAGTATTGCAAATTAATTTGGTTCGCACCCTAATTTTAATGATTAATTATTGAAGTAGCCCCACAAGTATTCTATTATATTAATTGGGTTTCCAAATTATTATTTCAATTATAATAAGCTATCTTTATGGCGAGGAAAATTATTTGGATACGAGTTAGTAATTTTGATGGCCTGGATCGAGAGGAAAATATTGGAAGTTGAATCAAAGATCGAGGGCGTTTGAATGGAATTTAAATGGTTGACCAGTATGGCACGGAAAATCGAGGTAATACATTACTATCTTTTCATGCTTTATGGAACATGTTGGTATTGGTAAATGCATCAATAAAAATGTTTGATCTCATATGTGTAATTAATGAAGTTCTACACTCGATTCGAATACAGTACAAATTCGATAACTGAATATGGATCAAATGACTAATATAAGAAATTGAATGACAGTTTGAATTCAATTACAAGTTATGAGATTAAGCGATATAGGAATCAACATTGGATATGAAATTTTATAATTTATCTCATTTGATAAGGTATGGAAATACTTCGATTGGTTAAAATTACGAAATTACCGTTATGTTGGAAAAATGAGAAGAATTGTCCTTGGAAGTTGATTTATAAATCTGAAAAGGCATATTGATATGATAAAACTACTGATGTGCATAAGAAATGTTAGTTTTACTTGGGAATTTGGGATAACCGGTTTTTAAAACCAAGAGGGTTTATACAAGATACTAGAAGTCTGTTAAGAAATCATTTCAAGATCAAAGAATGTTAGGGAAAGCGATTAACCATAGGATCTCTAAATTATAGTTATTTTTGTTAAGAGTTAATACCGGCATTATATGGTTAAGAAATTACGAAAATACCCTTGAGTGGTAAAAATAGTCCGAGTTGACCCTGAATGAGAAAGTACTTTGAGGATTCATTTTTAACTCAATAAATTACTGATTACTTGTTGAGATTCTATTTTTGTATGGAAAATTTCGGATAATCCGTTAGTAACATCTGAGAATGTATTTAACTCGAAATCTTCGAGTTATGAGTAAATATTTGAAGAATAAATTATCGAGGGTGCTCTTTTGTCAAAATTGTTCGTATAGAATGGAATAGATGATAAGTCTGAATTAAATAATAAATCGGATGGAAAGAACTGATTAAAATACGTGGAATCTGTAAAATAACCAAAATACCTTTGCAATGGAAATGACTCAAGAATATCACCAAGTTCAGGAATGAGTAGATATCCTCAAGCTTTGAAATGAATGGAAAAACATTGAGCATCAAAATGACCAAAATGCCCTTACGGTCTATACTAAGTAAATGTCTTGGATTAATTAAGAAATTCAAATAAACATGGATGTTGTACTGCTCTTTAATGTTATGAAACACAATTTAAGCCGGTCAAACAATGCTAGTGCTATATTAGTACTTGAATGGAATATATACCACTTGAATGATAGTTCGTCTCCTCAAGTTTGGATTGATAATAATTATGGAAGTACTCAGCTCAGCTCAACGCTAGAGCACATTCGATATTAAGAGGTGGATATTCGTGAGATAAATCAATCACGAATACCAAAATGATTTTAGTATATGACCAAAGTGAACTGAACGGAAGTACAACGTGTATTCGAAACTCAAAAATATCTGAATTACTCTGGAAAACTCTGAAGTAACCGGGATAACATTAATTGCTAAATGAACCAAGGAACCTTAATGATGGAGAATTTAGTAAGTATAATTGGATGAGTCTGGAAATACAATAAACTTGTATGTACGGTCCCTATGGTTATGAACTAAGAATCAAAGACGTCATCAATTCTTGATATTGTTGTAATGTGAAAAGAAAATAAAGATTATAAGGATGCCTGTTCGATTCCTTAAGGTATATTTAGCGATGATTATGAAGATGATTTATGGACAAGAATTGTTGGTATTATAAAGTGAATACCAGGAAGGGAAATGAATTGACCAATCGACAAGCATCAGTTCTGAAAGTTGTTCAGCTCAAGTTGTTCGATAATCCGATCGATTGTCATGGATGGTAATTTCCCTGAATATTCATTTCTTATTTTTCGACTCAAATCACTCCGGTTATTCTGGATGCACATGAAACCATAGTGGGATTCTAAAGTATTAACCTTAAATGTCTGTTTAGATTGATTAGTAACTGATTTTCTTCAATAGGACCATGTTACTGGAATATGATCAAATTGCATAAGTTTTCTGTTATCCATACTGATGACTACAAAATGCCTCTGATAAATATTGGGATTTCTCTAGTGTGTTCCTTATATTTTAATAAATTGTTTTATTGTTTTAATATGAGGTACACTGAAATTTATGGTTACTGTTTTATGGATGTACCGACTTAATGGTGATGGCTTATGGATTTGTATCACGGTATAAATTGTATCTTGGATATACATATTTGTAAAGTATAACTTTGATCAAGCTGGAAAATTTTTTATGGACCTAATGTGACTCTTAGGTAGGCTCTGCGGCCCTGAGATCATTCTCGGGTAGGCCTTGCGGCCCTAAGATGTGTTCTTAGGTAGGCCCTGTGGCCCCGAACTTTCTTGGTTAGGCTCTCAGGCCCTAAGATGTTCTCTTAGGTTAAATCTTTGTAAGATGGTTTTAAAATACGAGTTTAAAAAGCTCCACTACAATATGGTTTATGAGATTTTACTGAACTATCATTTGATTAGTGTACCTATTATGATTTTAACGTACTGAAGGAGCACACTAGACATCCTATTCAACCTCATGAAATCGTGATAGTATGAAAGGTTTCTTATGAACTGAGATTCGTGGCTTCTACTCGATGAACTACTAATGGAAACCCAGATTATTCCGCAATTGGTATACGTTTGATTCAATAAGGAAATTATGGCTTCCCATTTATCTGCATGTCATGTAGCATCATCTGGTAGTTCTGTATTACTGAGCTTTCCGAAGCTCACACTATTACTCACCATTGCAGGTTAAAAGAATTGTACCAGTGCATATATCGAATTCAGTAAGGGAGCTCTGCTGCCGTTGTTTGCAGAGTATGGTACATGTGATTAGGGGGCATGTAGATTGTATTTTGTTTTTATATACGAGTCTGAAAAATCTATTTTACTTCTGAATACTGATAAATGATTTTATAAGTTACATGTTTTAATTAAAGTTTTAATTTTTTCGCTATTTTTACAGTGGGTCGCTCCGGTGGCCCTAATGTGACACTCTAGATCGGATCGGGCTATCCGCATCGGTCTGAGGGAGGGTTACAGAGAGGAGTTGAACATGTATTTTCTTGTATTCACCTCAGATTTAATAATTAAAACAGAACATAAAATTTAAAATTTGAATTAACTGATACCTGCATTTACCTTCCAAATATAATATAATAGAAATGAGAAAAATATGTATTAGACTTCCAAATAAGATAGAGAGTCATTAAATCTACCCTTCTTTTCTTAAAAAATAAAATTTACGTTTTAGATTTTATGATTTTTTTTGGACAACTCATATTTTTTAATATCTCAATAATAAGATAAGTAATAATTAATAAAACTCGACTTACATAAATTGAATAAAAATAATTACAGAAAATTTTAATTAAAATATTTATTTTATTTTCATATATAAATTAAATTAATTGGTCAATTCTCCTTTCCCCCCTCAATTCTCACAATCCATTTTCTAATTAATTTACCTCGGCTATGAGTGATTTGAAGAAGGAATCTGTCTAGCAGCTAAACACTATTTCCCAGGGATGGTGATTTATCATTTCAATCCTTATTTTTATATTAAGCCTTAAGTATACGAATGTTTATTATCAAATAATTAAGAATATCTAAATATATACTACCTTGTATTCACATCAAATTTAATAATTAAAAACAAATCATAAAGTTTAAAATTTGAATTAACTGCATTAGATACCCATTTTTACCTTCCAAATATTATATAATAGAAATAAGAAAAATATATGTGTTAAACTTCCAAATAAGGTATATTTTATTAGATATTATAATTGATATGTTTTATTGATTTGAGTAAAATCGAAACAAACCAATTACACTTCAATTTTTAGGAAGAAGAGTGAGAATTAGAGTAATTATGTCATGACCCAACTTTAGATGTTGGGTCAGGCCACGACATAAAAAATCATTTATATATTAAGAAAATATGCAAGGAAACTACAACATTAGGCTTAAACTCCATAAACAATCAAACACCTCACATAACAAAAACATCTAGATAAACCTAACCATACGCACGATACACTGTGTAAGACTACTTAAACAAGAATAGTTTACCATATGAATACTATAAAATAAAATATATATCAATTTCTTATGAGTCAACAAAAACGTAGGCCAACCTTGAAAAGCAAGGCCCGATGCAACATCAAACACACAATCATCACAACATGATCCTACAGAGTCAAGATACTAGTTCAAGAGAGAGAGAAAAATATAATTTATAATAAAAAATTGGAGGGGCAAAAATCACAATACATCAAAATTTGAAGGTCTAAAAAGTATTTATCTCTCTATATTTTTTGTGATAAAAAAATTAGGGGGCAGTGCCCTCCGGAACTAAGCATAGCTTCATCCTTGACGATCCCAAAATATTGGGATTGACAAAACTTGAATCAACATTCACATATTTGTTATATGAAGGCAACTCTTTCAATGTCATTGAATCATGCAATGACCACGACACCACTTTATCTCCAACGTAACCACTGACGTCGCAAACGAGACAACGATTCCTACTTCTACAATTTATTCAGTTTGACAAGTTCGAGAACCACTTCTCGGTCGTCACTATCAATACTAAAATCAAGCTTCTTTGTAAACTCTCATGCACATTTTGATTCCCTCAAAATCACTTTCTCTTTAATTCTAAAATTCGAGTCCAAAAGAGATTTGACCAAATTATATACGATCATTACCTTCTTATTTATAATCATAATTTTGTTAAGTAAAAAAGAGTTGAATTATTATTTTTCTCTCCTATTTGGAAGGACTAGATTTGGAGGAAGAATTAAGTTAAAATTTCATTTCATTTTCTTCCTTTCTCTTAAGTTCCTTCTACTAAATGTACGACGTGACAAGAAAAGTATTTTTTTTTTTGTAAAGAGTGAAAATATTCTTCTCATTACTCCTATTTAATCCGATGAACGAGAATTCACCATTAACATTAACAACTATCCATCAATAAATACATTAATGTATTCCATAATAAACAAAATCTTCTCATTACTCCTACATAATCTCATGCTTTGTAACTTTTATTCTTGAAATCTATAAATTGAAACATTTCAAACATGATTTCTTTTTACATTTTAATATTCTATCTTCCAAATTCTTTTTTCACTCAATTGATAAAAAAAAACATTAATATTAAACCTTTCCCTTTCTTCTATTCAACATTCTAACCACTGTTTTGAAAACCGGACCGGTCGGTTCAATCGGGAATCGTTGTCTAGTTCGGTTCAATCTACACCGGTTGAACCGTTACTAGTGAACCGACCGGAACCGTTGAATCGTTCGAACTGGACCGGCTAAAAACCGGAAAAAACCGCCAATTTTGTTTTTTTTTTAAAAAAAATTAAACCAAACGATGTCGTTTGTTAAACGAGCCAAGTCAAACTCGAGTATTGCTGAGCTCTACTCGAACTTGAAAACTTTAAAAGTAAGCTCAACTCGACTCAAACTCACAAACTAAAAATTATCAAATTCAACTCGAACTCGAAATATAATATTTAAACTTGAACTCGAAAAGGCTTGAACTAAAAAAAAAAATAGAAGCTCGATTGAAGCCTAAAATTCAAGCTTAATTGAAGTGAAAGAATAGTTCACTCAATGCTCACCAAAAGGCTCCATGATTTTGAATGACAAATTACCTCTATTATTTATAGAAGTTAGTTGGGATGCTCTTCTATGTTTTTTAGCCATGTGGAATTGTTTTGTTTTCATATTTTTACTCTTTAAACTTTTGGGATGCTCTTCTATGTTTCTTAGCCATGTGAGATTGTTTTTAAAAAAAATTAAACCAAACAATATCATTTTATTATGATTTTTTTAGCCCCAAATTTATTTTTTAATTATAGTTATATAATTATATTTATTATTTAATATGTTTTACCTTAAATATTATGTTATAGTTAATTTGAATCATTTTGTTTTACTTGATTTTATGGTTTTTAACTTATATATGTTATGACTTGCTTGAATATGACTTGTGATATAAAAAATTATTTTTATTAAATATTTTGGTATTTTATTTAATTTTTTAAATAATTATGACGTCGTCCGGTTGAACCAATGAACCGGTAGCATGGCCGGTTCGTTAACCGGTCCGGTTCTAAAAACCGTGATTCTAACTCTCAACCTTTTCCTTTGCTTAGTCTTATTCTCAGTCATGAGGGTAAGCGTTCGATCTTGTCGAGTTGAGTGAGTAAAAAATTTTAAATTATTCGAGTTAACAAGTCGTATTTTATAACTTAAATTTAATTTAAAATTCTTTTGAGACGAGTCGAGATTTTAAGTTTACGTTTAAATTTATTTGTGAATATTTATAATATATCATGCTACTTTTTTATGTACTTGGTTTTAGTGTTGAAGGCAACAAACATGATGTGATGGCCGAAATTGTTAGGTTAAAATATATAAAGGTGGCTGTGTTCAGATAACCCACTTATTCCTAAACGAAAGACATAATAGGTGGACTGACTTAGGTGAGGATGATAAACTCCACGATTGTTCAGCTTCGTTTGCTAAATGTGCACGGCTCCAAATTTACTTGCAAATTAACAACATGATGAAAATTAGCAGTAATTAAGGCTGTCTGAAAAGAGCTTCTATGGATATGACTAGTACAGTATTTGTTCATGTGTGATATTGTAACACGGCTCATGCAAGTTGGCATTAATATTTTCAAAGAAACAGTGATTGATCGCGTGGGAGAAGAGAAATGTTCAAGTTGATTGTTACTGCTAGGGGTTATTTATAGGCAGCAGTTGATCATGATTGATCTGATTTCCGATTTACTGTTAGTAATGTTATTTATAGGTCAGTGTGTTATGGTCGTGCGTTCATGGTATTTTACTAGTATATTTTTGTCAGGTATTGATTGGTTGCAGTTGAATTGGTTTGATTTGTTTGTCGATTTGTTATTAATGATGATATTTTAAGATCAGTGTGCTAAGATCGTGTGTTCATGGTATTTTAATATTATTTTTTTAATCTGTTTCTCGAGGTGTTATTCGATGTTTCGAGTTTATTTTCATGTTTTATTCAAATATTGATTGATAACCTATTAACCTTTGACTAATTTTATTTATATTAATAAAATTATATTTGTTGTGGTCATCTGATTTGTTAAGATTTATTAGTTTTTTAATAGTAATAAAGAGAATAACAAATAGAAAGTAATGGTAGAAGAAAAGGTTCTATCGAGACACAAACAGTCTTTACAAAAATCATTATCTAAATTGTGTATCACCTAGGGGCAATTCTGAGACAGGATATAATTTTTTTTTGAATTAATCACTAGTATCTGATCTATTAACTAACTAATCTAAATCGAATACTACAGAGGCGATGGTGACCCTTCCAACTCAGTTTGCTCCATTCACAAACCCCAGAATTTGAACCCATGACCTTGTTTAAGGGACCTAGTGCCTCATCTTACTAGACCAACTGGTTGTTGGTGGAAAGGATAGATATTGGACACATAAATCAAATATTTTATTTTTTTTAATAAAGTAGAACAAAGCTTTTGTTGTGATTATTGACAGATATTTAGTGAATGGTTTAAAATTGGCAGGAGCCATAGAAACAACTACTTGTGTAATTAATGCAATCCCAAATTCCATCATTCCTCCACCTCCAACTCAAGCCAATACTCCCAGGAGAAGAAACCGGAGGGTAAGAGATAAGTGTGTTTATCATTTGAGTAGACTTATTAGCTGCAATCTTTTAATGTATTTTTATGATAATTATTTCATGGTTATCTTTGAATTAATGTTGTGTATATCAGTCAAAGCCACTACCTGATTTCCTAGAAAATTGGAATATTGAAGAGAGGGAACGTCCAAATGGGAGGATTGATAAGGTAATTCTCATCTTTAAATGACTTTTACAACCAGGGATGGCCACTCAACCCGAACCTGACTCGATCTGATCGGATTTTTTTTAAAATTTGGGTTCGGATCGGATTTTTTTAAGTGTGATATTGGGGTCGGATTTGGATTTAGGGTGAAAAATACCCGATCCGAGAAAAATATATAATTTTATCTTATATATTTAGGAATAATTACAATAATACCCCTCTATATATAATTTTTTTCAATGAAGTCACTATTTTTATTGAATAAAAATAATTTTTTTATTATTCCGGGTCGGGTCGGGTTTCTAAGTCATATATTCGGGTCGGGTCGGGTGAGACATTGTTTTGGTCGGGTCGGATCGGGTCTCGAGTGGAGGTTCCTTGTTCTCAGGTCGGGTCGGGTGGACCAAAAAACCGACCCGACCCGAATCCCTATTTACAACTCTTATAATTTTATATGCAATTGACAATAATTTTGGCTCTCCTTGATTAACAGTTCTATTATCATAAAGAATTGAACTTCATGTGCCTGTCGATCGTCGAGGTCAGAAGGTATGAAACGTCTGGCGTTCGACCTAGTCGCACTAAGAAGCCGAAGCCGAATGAAGATCTAACTAGCTTTCTTGGACCTCTACCAGTAAGTGTGCATTTTTAGTATTTTTTTTTAATTTCTGTGTGTATGAAAGAATAAGATAAATGAGGTATTTGTTTGTGATGCAGAGATAGAATTTGGGTATAAGTAAGGCCCTTGGCCTCTATAATTTTGATTCTTTTCTACCTTAGTTCCCAGATACAAAGAAACATTATGGTTATGTGAGTTGAAAGTTTCTTCATCTATTGTTATTTGAGCTTTTGCAGGCACAACCATTGAAAGACGAAGCCGAAGCTTCGACTGGGGTAGAAATCAATTCTGAAAATCCCAAAAACTCTGACGTCACAAAAGCTTCAACTGGGGAGGAAACCAGTTCTGAGAATCTTGAAAACTCTGGTGTCGTAAAAGCTTCAATTGTGGAGGAAACCAATTCTGAGGATCCTAAAATCTTCAATGTTGGCAGTTCTTCAAAGACTAAACACATTCGTTCGTACTTATTTAAACAATATTTATATTGAAATATATGCATGTATCAAATACTTTTTTGTTTCGAAATCAAATTAACATAGAGTTTTTTTTTTTTTTTTTGGTTGAAGGAAAGAAAAGGATGAAAAAAGTGGATAGATCAAACTTGGTCAGCAGTATCAAATGGGACGAGATGGTGAAGGTTCCAATCGTTTATATTAAGCAGTAAGCACTACAAATATATAAAAACTATTGCATTTTTGGTGCGAAAACAATCTGTAGCATCCATCTTTCTGGTGTTGTTTTATTATATCAACTATCAAGTATGTTTTCTTAAGACAAATAAGTATTTGTTGGCTTTGTTGGATGGATGCTCTTCTCAAAAAAACCTTATTCGATGTCTAGGTGAATGGAAACGATATATGGATATCCTCTTCTTTGTTTGAAGTTTATTTAAGTTTTTATATTATATTTAACAATCTTCCATCAAATAACCAATTAATGGCATATTGCTACACTGCTAAACAAGAATATACCCATCTTTTATTAGGGTTACAATTCCGTCTATGTATGACATTTTTATTTTACTAATATTAATATACTCGAATTCATTAAATGACATCAATAATAAAAGAAATTGCTTTTAGAGATCACATGTTTGAAGAATTACATTTTTCCCCGAGCTTCGATGGACTTGTACTGAAATTCCGTCTTAAGATTACCATTCTCTTTAAAAAAAAAACCTTAAATAGACTTTCTGAGTATATATAACATTAAATATTTTGATATATATACTCTATTATGTGGGTGAATGATAATATTTATATAAAAAATATTTAAATAGTTAAGTAATGTTCATATATAGAATGGAAATTGAGACAGATTATTCAAAATTGTCCTCAGATTTGTGAAGACAAATGTACGTCGGAACTGCTTTGAAACATTTCTTGCTTTTTAATGCATAGACTTACCCAAGAGGTAATTCTGATTCACGGAACTTGCATCTTCAACGGATATAAATAGTCTCGTAAATGAATATATATAACGACATTTGATTTATAAAGAAAATTATGGACAATCAAGTTTCTGAATTATGTTGACAATTGAACAAATCAGCGTTCTTCAGTATTAGTAATTGGTGGAGCAGACATTTGCCTATGCTGTTTTGAGAAGCATTAATGCGTGTAAGGTAAGTCGAAGCTTGGGGCAATACCCAACTGATCAAGTGACCGCCACCCGTTCGGTTGCATAATGATTCCGACGCCCACAGCTCGGAGCGGTTCCGATCTCTCTAACACCATGCTCTTCATCCCTTTCCTGCAAAATATAACAGCCACACTTAAATTGACCGGAATGAAGATGATTGAAAGGTGCCGGTTCTATAACTGAAGGAAAAATAAAAGAGGTGGGGGATCATCGAGGAGGCGGAGTGAAGAGCAAGGGCGGTGGCCAAGCCGCAAATGCCTCCGCCCACGATCACTATGTCTTGTTCACCAAGGTTCATCTTTTGCTTGACAATCCATTTCTTTCTATTCTCTATTTATTTGTTTGTTTCCCTTGTAAATGAATAGTTTTAATTCGACTTTGCCGGGGAGTGCTGAGAATGGTAGCTGGGTTTGTCCTGATGCACATGTCGATTTCAGGACCTCTGAATCAACACCTATATTATTTTGTTGGATTAAAATTTATAATTATGAATATACATGTATAATATATAATATTATCATAAAGTATGATATAAAATTAAATAACCAATTATGTTACATATATCATAATTATTAAAGTGTCATGAAATTAAAGTTGTATATACTTTATTGCATTAACGTAACCTATATGCTAGCAAATTAATACATATTAAGATTATAATCTACAACTATGAACTATATAATAATTTAAAAACGAAAAAGAAGGAGAAATAGCATGTATCTTTTGGGCGGAGGGGTAACATGTTTTGTTTGTATCTTGTTGGTCCTCGCAAATCGCAAAATTAACAATTTTAATGAATAAAAGATGTTTATTATTCTTAAGATTTTTGGAATTAATCATGATATTTACATTGATGTTTAAGCGAACTCACAGGGTATAAAACTACTACTATATCATCCCCACAAAAATAAACAAGAAAGAATGATCGACCAAAATCCTAACAAACCATAACTTTAATTCCTTTTTCACTGTCAATCGTCATCGACGCCTGTCAATCGGCCAAAATTCTGTCGGCGAGTGATCGACCAAACACTTGTTAGCTGAACCCCCATACTTTAAGCCGATTGCAACGAAAATTGGACAATTGTAGGACGACGACTCCGATTAGACGATTCCAACAAAGGACAACGATTTTAGCGATGATTACTCTCACAAAGCGTTGGCATTTGGTTAGATGAAGTGATCGACGATAAAAGATGACGATTAGGGGAAGGTCGGTGTGGGTAAAGAGATTTGGAGTTAGAATTTTTAGAGTTTTGAGTTCTTTAAATTTAAGAAAGAACTTGAGTTTTCTTAAAATAAATTATAATTTTAAGTTTTTTTATCTTAAAATTAAAATTTTATAAATCTGACATGTGTCATATAACGATTCATTTTAACGGTCGTGACGGATCAAACACCTAAAAAAACATCGAAATGTTAAACATTTATTTTGAAAAAAATTATTTAAAATTTTAAATTAAAAAGGATATAATTTAGGTATTAATTTTCGTATTAAAAAAATGACACTAGAAGAGAAGAAGTGGGACATAATGAAGGTAAGTGACAACCACCACTGCTTAAGCTTACTATCTTGGGTGGGCAATTCCGATGCCGCGTTGATGGCGAGGAAATAAATTCACTGCCACAATGAGAGTGGTCCCATTTATCCACATGCACACACTTTCCACTGTCATTTTCAGGGAGGACACGAGGTGATACCAGAGATCGAGAGTTTTAGAGGTTTTTTTTTAATATATTTTTTTACTGATAATTTATTTTTATTTCGAAAATTTAATAAATAATTAGTATATTTTTTAGTATCTAAATTATACTTAAAAGTATATATGATTTGGTTTTTAAAGAATTTTTCATTAAAAAAATGTATATAATGTTTCTAATGCTACATGTTTAGGTGTCTGGACCGTAACGGTCGTTAAATTTCATCGTTATCTGACACATGCCATGCATGTTAAATTTTAAAATTATTTTATTTTTAAAAAACTTAATATTGTAATTAAAAAAAATCTTCAAATTTATATCTTTCGTCGTCGAACGGTCATCGTCGGTCCGTGATCTTCACCGTTGACACAATCAAAATCGTTTCGACCAAAACCCAGTCTCCCACCAGTTGTGAAAATGCTTTGATCACCCACTGTGAAACTGCTTTGACCTTTTTGAAAAAACGTTGCTAAGGGTAACTCAATTTCTAAGTTTTTCATTACTATTTTGGACGATTTGGACAGCTACAATCATTCCTACGTTACATGACTGTCACCAATGATTTTCTCATCCTACTCTGAATAAACCCGACCAATGGTGATCATTTGTTGTCAGAGGTGGGGCGATGGAGAGAGCGGTTAGATTTGTTTTTTATTTTAAAAAAAACAATATTTTTATTATTAAAAAGTTAAAAGATTAAAAAATATAATGTTAAAAATATAAAAATATAACGGAGAAAACGTTAAACACCTATTTTTAACAAAATCGTATTTTAAAGTATAGTTCAGACGTTAAAAATGTATTAAGCCTTTAATAAATTCATCATTCTTAAAAATTTAAAATTACAGTCCAAGATAAAATTCTGGACGATAGAGTCATTATAAATTTATAATCGCAGCTTGAAAATGCAGCCGTACCGTTACCAAGGAAAACATATCTTTAGAAAATAGAGCAGAATGGGTAAATAGAGAAGTGAAAAATGAATGAATTTATAAAATTTTAGAAGAGATGAAACAGATTTGATAAAATTTAAAATATATTTTTATATAAAATATTTCATTGCGTGTATATATATGGATAGAACTATTATTCCCAACCCCAGGATCTAGCCCAACTTGGGCTTAAGATTTGATAGAATATAGGCCTAAGATTCTTTTAATGAAGTGGCACACTTTCTTCTATTGGGCTTCTTGCATTGTTATCTAAAATTGAAGATCACATTGGGATGGTAACAGAATCGATTCTACTTTAATTTAAAAATGTTTATTTTGTTTTGAATTTGATCCAAAGAGTTTATCATAAATTTGATCGAACCCGATTATATCTTACCACACTGCACATAATCCAAAGAAACAATATTAAGACAACAGTAGTATTGAAAATGTATATAAAAAAATATTAATATATATTATATAGATAACCGAACTATAATCATGGTAATAAAATGAAAGAAGAGCACATTAAATATGAATTCGTGATGCGGTTATTTAATGTTATAAAAAATCAATAAACAATGGTTTTTTCTCATTTCATGCCACTTGTATCTTTATTGATATAAAAAGACTTGATTGAAATTGATGTTAGAGATTAAATTTAAAAAAAAGTTTGAATTGAAGCAAAAATGAAATTTATTATTGTTAAGCAAATGGATTGAAAGAGAGAACGTGGAAGCATTTGAAGCGGGAAAATGATGGAAACAAGTTGGAATAAGCAGAGCAGAGGAAATGGGGAAATTGAAAAACGTGTTGGTCCACACATGGAACGAAACAAAGGGGCTGAGACATAGCCCACAAAACTAAGGACACAGGTACCTACCAAATCAATTCTATCTCCCTCTCTCCAACCACTTGCCTTTCGAGTCTATTGGCCCCTCCCCCCTTTTCTCTCACTCCGACCACCTATATATAATTTCTTACACAAGCTTCTTCCATTCCCCTTCCCATGTTTCTTTTTTCCTCATCTAATTACATCAATATTCGATAACTGGTTTGATTTGATTATTCAAAGTCATGGGACGATCACCTTGTTGTGAAAAAGCTCATACCAACAAAGGTGCCTGGACCAAGGACGAGGATCAACGCCTCGTCGATTACATCCGTCTCCACGGTGAAGGTTGCTGGCGTTCCCTTCCCAAAGCTGCTGGTAATTTACCATTTTAATTACTTCTTCTTCTTCTTCTTCTTTCTTAGTTATCAATTTGGTTTCTATTGTTTGCAGGGCTGCTTAGATGTGGTAAAAGTTGTAGATTAAGATGGATAAATTACCTGAGGCCTGATCTCAAGAGAGGGAATTTCACTGAAGATGAAGATGAGCTCATCATCAAGCTTCACAGTTTACTTGGAAACAAGTGAGTTCATCCTCCCTCCCTTTTTTTTTCTTCTTTTAATTTCATCGTATTTGATAAGTTTTTAATGTCGTCAAATGTATTTACAGATGGTCTTTGATTGCTGGAAGATTACCTGGAAGAACAGATAATGAGATAAAGAATTACTGGAACACACACATCAAAAGAAAGCTTATAAGCAGGGGAATCGACCCTCAAACTCATCGTCCTTCGAACGAAACTGCTGCCAATACCACCACCAACAGAATCATCACAGCCCTTACTGAATTGGATTTCAGAAACGCACCCAAATCGAATTTCATGAAAACCCCATCATCTCTGGAATTCAAACACAATGAATTTCAATTCAAGCCCAACGCAGATTCCCTCGAAGAACCCAATTGTACCGCCAGTAGTGGCATGACTACAGATGAAGAACAACAACAGCAACAGCTACACAGGAAGCAGTATGATAATCCAAGTGACGGGGAAGAGTTAAATTTGGAGCTTTCGATTGGGATTAGTTCAGCCGTCTCCTCTCGAGTTTTAAGCGCTAACTCTGCCGAGTCCAAACCAAAGCTAGAAAACAACAATTTCCAGTTTCTTGAACAAGCTATGGTGGCCAAGGCAGTGTGTTTGTGTTGGCAATTAGGGTTTGGAAGGAGTGAAATTTGTAGGAACTGTCAAAATTCAAATGGCTTCTATAGATTTTGTAGACCTTTGGACTCGTAGGGTCATTTTTACTTTTAGATGATAATTTGAGATAATTACTTAATCATTACCATCTTTTCCTCTGCTTTCTGTAATCAATACCTGATTTCTGCAGTTATTATTCAATTCTTTGATTTGTTTTATCAGTTAAATGAACATGCAATCCCTTGCCCGAAAAGAAAGAAAGAACATGCAATCCCTTGTCCGAAAAGAAAGAAAGAACATGCAATCCCTGTTCAAAAGAAGCATAAAAGATTAACAAATTAGATATTATGAACTTTGAATTGCTATTTTCATATTATAAAACAAACTTGTTAGATAATGACCGCTATACTAATTTAAAATTTTATAAATTATGGCATGTTATTAAAAAATTAATAGATATGATGTATTATTGACATTATCTTATGGTGATATCTTAGCATTATCGTTAATTTTTCTATGATACAAAGTAAAAATATTGAAATAGATAATCAGCTTAAACGGAACCGAAATTAATTAGGCAATTAAATAGGTAAAAAACATATATAACACAAAATACAAATACTTTAGACTTGTTTATAAAAAATATTTTTTAAAAAAAGAACTTTGAAAAAAATGAGAAATAAAAAGAAAGTAAAGATGAAAGGTGTTGAATTATTAATGAAAAGGTATTGATGTCAACATGCAAATGCAATGGAACCATGTGAATGAGATGGTGACTAATCGGTTTGTCTACGCTGGCAATGGCTGGCATGCATGTTTAAACCGTCTTACCTCATAACCAATACTATATTAAGATTTAATAATTCATACCAGACACTAAAAAATAACAGAAAAGTTTATATTAAAAAATAATAAAATAAAAATGTAACATGTACACTGACGGTGAAGGAAACAAATCCCAGTGTTTTAAGGTTTCGGATGGAGAACTACTACCTTTCCTTCTGCAGAAAGTTCCTTGGGAATAACAATTCTTGTTAAATAAATACGAGTATCACTTATTTTTATTTTATTTTGAGATAATAAAGCGATATTATTTATAATTTTAATACAAATAATAATAAGAATAATAAATATAGTTTGGGATATTTTTTTAAGATTCGAATTCAAACAGTTGAGTTTGCATGGTGTATATATGTTATTATAAACTAAAAAAATTCTGAATATATATTTCATTGTAATTACCATATAATATTTAAAATAAATAAAGAAATGTAGTATTGAGATAACTTAATTGAGAGTAGTTAAATTAAACAAGAATTGGGATGGGTTAGATTGGTATTGGGAAGATCATAAATGAGGATCATTGTTCTAAAACAAGTGCTGCATTCAATTTCAGTCAGTCCCAACTTTAAAAAAGAGGTAGGCAAAGGCAATGCATGTATTAATGGGGGTATTGAAGAAACTATTCGGCTCATACCAAAGCCATCCATGTTAGGTTACATTTAATTTGGTAATTGAATATGGAATAAAAAATAAGTTGGCAGCCAATGTTCTTCTATTTGGGCAAATTATATTCTAATTTACCCTTTTCCTATTTGGTTTAACAAAATTGATTCAACAAGTTTAAAAAAAATCTAAATTGAAGAAGTATTTAAATTTGAAAGTAAATCTTTATTAAAAGAAATAATTTTGTAGTCAACATCAGAAGAGAGCATCTATTGCTATTTTTGAGTTAAAAAATAATAATAATTATATAGTTCATTTTACATGTTTGAGCAGCAGTTCAAAGTGTTGTCTGGTGTCTTGTAAGTTTGTATTCTATTCAAAGCAATTATGGTCGTTTATGATGCTTTAGATATGGTTTTTGTTTGGCTATGGTAGGATTTAGATATCGTGCGTCCATGATATTCCATTTGCTTTAGGCATTATCTTGCTTGGAATGTAATCTGGTGATTGTTCTTGTCTTTTTGTTTTTAAAAGCAACAATTAGTAAATTGTGACATTTGGTCAATATTATTTTCTTTAAAAAAATATTGTACGGAAAAAATTATAAGGATCTAAAACGATGTCATTTTGGTGTCATTTGTCATGTAATAACATCATAATTATTTAATGGTATAGGACCAAAACATGAGTAATTTGAAAGTTTAATAAAATTGTGAATTTTTAATATTTAATGACCAAAACAGGAATAATAAGAAAAGAGAGTGATGGTTTGTGTAGTTTAGCCATAAAACCAATAAATAGGTTTAGGAAGTCAATGGCAATTGGAAAAGCAATCACGAAAGGCAAGTGTTTTAAATAGAATGGGTAATGTTTAGTGAAAAGGCATTTGGGATTGGTTGGAGGAGGGAGATAGAGACATGTGAGCATGTGACATGTTTGGGTTTGGAAAGGTCAGGTCAGGTCAAGTAGGTAGGTAACCAAATTTTCAATTTCTTCTTCTTATTTATTAATTATAGCATTAAATTAATTAATGAGAAAGAAGTCGGTTAAAGGTTGGTCGGGGAGAAAGATAGATAGGTACCCACTCATCTCATCTCATGTGCCCATTGGTTGGTAGGGATTGAGATTCACACTCTCATCTCATATGTAATAACATTATATTAATGGAATGATTTGGTATACATTTGGTACTTCAACTAAATATTTAGTCTCAAGCTAGTAATTAAGTTTTTTTATTCTTAAAATTGTATCTTTACTTTTAATTTTGTAATCTAATTGCAATTCCACTTATTATTTTGATATTTTTATAAACATTGTTAATTTTTAATGACGAAGAAATATATGATTGTATCACATGTCAATGTTGGTGTCATAATTAACATGTGGTACGATCTTATATTGTTATGTTATTAAAAATTAATATCATAAATAAAAAAAATATCAAAACAGTAGATATAATTAAAGTTCATATATCAATTTTGAAGTAAAAAAATTAAAGTCAACCATAAGTATTGTCACGATTCATGATCATCACGGCAGACCAAATTATGTACATATTGACAAATATTTTGTTTTAAAGAAAGTCAACAATAATTGAGCTACATTCCTATTCAAATTCAGTTTGCAGATGTTTTAATTAATTTAAGTCCAAGAGACTTGATTACATGTTAGTTCGAGGGGAGTGTAGAATATTACCGACAATTAATTTAAATGAGTCGAACAATGACGATATACATGTTTAAAATATTATATTTAAACAATTGAAAAAATCTCACATCTAAACCACATGATTTGATAAATTAATGGTTAAATATGTTGATTTTATGTTGTCAAAAAAAAAATATCATAACCTTAATCAGACTTATATCAATATAACAATAGATCATTTCTTATATTGGAATCTTGAGTATATCAAAAGACAATAATCGACAGGGTTGAAGACTTATAAAGTTTAGAATTTATCTTTGACAGCTCAAAATCATAATGTTTAACCATAAATTTCTCAAAATCTCACATTATTTAAATAAGAGAGTTTTTCAAATATTTAAATAAATGTTTTAAACATATCTTATTGAATGGTTGAAGACAAAATTAATATATATGCGTCGTTGTCGGTATTATACTCCTAATACATCAGCAGAAAGTATTTTCTAAAATTATTATTTCTGACATATTTGATTAAAAAAATCTTATTTTTTAAAACTAGACTAGACATATGTATTTTTAAATTTGGATTAAATTACAGTTTATGATAATTGTGCGAAACCAAGCTTTGTCCTTGGGAATGAATGTAGCTATTGAAGGATATGTAAGGTGGAAAGTAGTGGCTTAGAGCCTCGGATCCTGACGACGTTTGGCGTATTGCTAGGAATCGAAGTTGGTCCCCCATAGTCAATGTTTGTGGTAGGTGGAGCTTTGACTCATATGCCTAATCCAACAATCTCGCTTTCTTCAAACTCTTGTCTCTGTCTACCACCACCTCGTATTCTGCCGCTTTCACCAGATTGTTGGATGTTTTAATTGCCCATACATAGGCTTCCCTCTCTGTCAATCTTTTAAGTTACTTTCGTTTTTACCGAAAAATATACATTCGGACGGAGATAAAATCAAATATTAAGAAAGATAATAAATTTAAATTCAAAATATGCCGTTCCGATCAGTAATAACATTGTTAAAAAGTTAAATTGCATGCTTGAAATCAATAAATGAAAATTATTTTCAGGCAATTCAATGCATATAGATATGGTATCTGCCTCCACGAGCTTAAATTCCTTTCAGTGTAATACTTGAAATGGAAAACAATGCAAAATCCATCAGCCATGGCTGCAAAAAATGACTTCTTTTTTTGTCACTATTTTCACGGCTTGAAAGCGTAACGTAAAGAAGCAAGACTCGGTACTGATACAACAAAGGCTTAGCAGGTCCAAGAAGATGATCTCTTTATCAATGGCTTCATTTGTTTGTCCTCCTCCAAAGAAATCATCCCCAAGTGCGATGGATCCTCCACCATCATTTTTGCCACTAAATATCCAGCTATTGACCATGTCTGAAACTTCCTAGCCTGTTTACCGATAAATATCCCGAGTTTGCCGTCATAATGCTCCGGCCAGCCATCTTTCAACAACCGTGTCTCGGCAAGGTCGATTGCACGTCTTGCAATTCGAGGCCTTCCCGTTTTTATGCAAGCTGCTGTCAGCAACCACAAAAGCACTGCATGCAAAATGGGCAGAAATTGCAGGATTACGGAAAAGGGCAATTTACAAATACAACAAACAGTAATGTTCATGTTCATCAGTTCAAAAATTTATGGATAATCATTCTTTTATATGTATTACATGTCTTGGATTTGTGTAATGTGTATTTGACATAATCATCTAAAATACAAGAACTTTGTAGCTTCATAGTTTTCAAAAATGACACCAATAAATATATGTTTAATAACAAATATGAATATCCTTTCTCATAAGATCAAAAGCACTGAAGTGAAGATAGATTAGAAAGAAAAGGCCTTACCTGGCCAGGATCCTCCATTGTGATAACTCCATCTCGTGTTCTTCGGGTCACAACCAGCTACGATTCGCCATTCATGACTTTCTATTGCGGGATAAGCTATTTTTAGTGGCATTTCTCCAAAGCTCCCAACGCTCCTCAATAAGGTCCATTATAGCCATTGATTGCTCTGGAGTTGCAAGAGAACATAGAATTGCTATAC